TTATTATTTTCAGAATTCATTTGAAATTCTTGTAAATTTGCAAGTTTTGGTGCATCTGGCCTCCGTTTTTGGCCAAGTGCACTATTCCGTCCTTTCTTTTCTTTTGTTTCTTTCCATTTTGGGCTGCCAACTCATTCTGGAGTTGGCCCCACAAAAAACGGCCATATTGTCTCCCCGATTTGATCTGATCTCAGATCTATGGTCCAAAAGAAAACCGGCCAACTCCTTTTTGCTTTTTCTCTCATTTTCACCTTTTTAATTCAGATATTATCGAGATAATGCCCCGAGGGCCGTATCTCTTCACTCAGGATTTGCTCCCATCGACTCTCTCAACACCCTGGTTACCAGGACACTTGCTCGTTTTCAGTTGGTCCTTTGGATTGGCTATCCGAGGACCGCAGGTTTCTTTTCCTATCTGCAAGGGTTGGCCCGATTTTCCCAGAGGTGGTCGTGTGCAATATGCAGAGGATCCAGGAAGGAGTGTCGCAGTTACAGACCTGGATAAATGTAATATCTTGCTTCTTGTGTCTTACCTCCTATCAGTTAGCAAGCATCCGTTTACATTTTCTTATATTGTGCTACTTTCCCAGTCGTAAAGGGCTTATCCCCTTAACACTATGGAACTGCATGGGAACTCTTTGTTTGTAAGTTATAAATACAACTGAATTTGCAATAATTTGCATTCTGCCAGCAGGAATATACACATTTGAGAAAGCGTATTTTCCTCATCTCTTAGAAGATGACTTTCATGAACACATACGTAATATGTTGAAGACGGAAGAGCCGCAGCAGAGGACATGCGGAGAGGAAGAGTTGGATGGCTTTCTGGACATCTAGTTGACTTTGGGTTTTGATGTCTTTGTGTTGGAATGACGGACAGGTGCGAGCAGAAATAGATGGGAAGCGGCTGACTGCAGAACGTTCTCGGAGAGCCAATACGGGTGGCAAGCAAGGGACACTTGGTGATGTTGAACTGTGTGTACGAGGGACCAACAATTGTTGGGTGGTTATGAGGAGAGAAGGAGAGCGTGAACTGTACGTGGTCATGGAGAAAGCCGGTGAAACTCTTGCGCTCACATCAGAGGCTATTGATCAACTGAGCAACAGGTAAATGTCTCAGAGACGCTGCTGTGTGTTCGTTTTGTGAATCTCTACATGATGTTTTCTATCCTTCTCTCGTTTCCTAAGCACTTCCTTCCTCTCCCCTCCAGTGTTATCTTCTGATCTCTGGCCAATGCTCCAGGTTTGTTTTTCCCATATTCGTTTGTTTTCTGTGAATGGCTGCTTTGGTTTGGTTCACCTTGGGGATTTAGGGCCCCTTTCCACACACCCTCCTTTTGCTCTTCCCCTTTCCCATTCCAGTTCGACTTCCCTCATCCCTCATCCCTCATCCCCCTTCCCCCTTCCCCCTTCCCCCTTCTCCTTCGCCACTTTCCTCGTCCCTCTCTCCCCTGTGCCTCCGTACCAACACCAGCAAATCACCGCCTCGACCACTTCAGTGTCAGCAGCCTGCCTACCCAGGGAAACAGAACCATTTTGGGGCCACCTCTGGAGGCACCCACAAGCCCATTTTTCCCACAGGATTCTCTTCATGGACTGTGGAACAGTCATTGAATGGCCAGCCCTGTTCACTTCCAGAAACCTTTCTCGGGCTTTTGGCTAAGATAAAAAAAAAGAAAATAGAAAGAAAGAAAGAAAGAAAGAAAGAAAGAAAGAGCTGTAAGTTGGGAGCTCGTGTGTAAGTGACTGTGCAAAAGTCTTTTCCCCTTTCTTACCCTCCCTCAACCCTGCAAGAAGGTTGTAGTGTCGGGTTCGTAGGACTTGGACCCAACCCCCCCCCCCCCAAACTGTTCTTCTTTTCGTTCTTGCTGGGATCCCAGCCTTGGAACCAAACGAGGTAGGTACAGCTGTATTGTTTTTCCTTGCTGTTGAAACTGGTGAGTTTTTGTACCAGGGATCTGCGTGTAGAGTCTCTGTTAGCCTAGAAGCGGTTGGACCTTTTAGACTCTGGTAGTTCCAGGCTTTTTTGGTAGGCAGACCAGGTAGGCCCCAGACGAAAAGCAGCTAATCGAAACTGACGAGCTGGGCAGAACTCAGGAATCATTTGTCAATWKTKTRCTKCYMSKTKMAMSKRGMAGYAMAMWATTGACAAATGATTCCTGAGTTCTGCCCAGCTCGTCAGTTTCGATTAGCTGCTTTTCGTCTGGGGCCTACCTGGTCTGCCTACCAAAAAAGCCTGGAACTACCAGAGTCTAAAAGGTCCAACCGCTTCTAGGCTAACAGAGACTCTACACGCAGATCCCTGGTACAAAAACTCACCAGTTTCAACAGCAAGGAAAAACAATACAGCTGTACCTACCTCGTTTGGTTCCAAGGCTGGGATCCCAGCAAGAACGAAAAGAAGAACAGTTTGGGGGGGGGGGGGTTGGGTCCAAGTCCTACGAACCCGACACTACAACCTTCTTGCAGGGTTGAGGGAGGGTAAGAAAGGGGAAAAGACTTTTGCACAGGCATGGGGCGGAGCCATAGCCAGTGAGAACTTGCTGTTCACTGAACGGTTCCTCAGCTGACTGTTGCTTGCTGCTCAGGGAGGCGGGATGCTCAATTCTATGTAAGTTTTTCGAACTTTTCCCTGGTTTCATCAACTATTTTGATGTGAAGGTTCAGTTCCAATTTTGTAGTGGAGCTTGCAATCAAGTGTGATCATGTCTCAATCGAGTGTGTCATTGTGATGATTGATGTGAGTATCTGAGATTCTGGGAGAAGCGTGCAAGGAAAATGAGCAATAGCGAAATGACAGATATCCAAATTGCAACATCACATTGAAAGCCGATAGTTGTGAGCTGTCCAGAAAGCAGAAATGCACTGATATCACACCCAAAAAGAGCCAAAGCAACGAACTCAATTGTCAATGAAAGCCCTCTCTTGCCACTATCAACTATGTATCCGAAGTCTTCCCTCCTACTGACGCTCAGCGCCCAGAGCCTATCCTAATGACGAAGCAACCAGATGACGTCAGCAGCAGTAGCTTCACTTTGGCCAAATTGTCTACGCCCAGGCCCGTTCAGACAGTGGCCTGGGCCCGCAGCAGTTAGGTGCACCCAACCACCTTGTGCCCAGTGAGGTGTTCCCTGCTTCCTGATACACCGAGAGGCCTCCGTCCACGTCGTAGGCAAAAAAGCCTAGAAGGCTCACTGAATATTCTGACGTGAGCAGGGTTCATGTAACCAACTGGCACGCGGCAACTGTCTCTGGTTCCCACCAGGGCCTGCAAATTCGCAATATTCAGGCCTCATTGTGATACGGAGCCCGCCTTCACTTAGGGCGGGCACAAGGCTTGTAGTAGGGGCCCCATATGGGCATGCTATGAGATCAAATCCTCGCACTCCCTCCTCCATTACTTCGATAGTCCTCTGAGTAGTTCTTAATCAGCAGGCTGCTTCCCTTTCAGTCTTCTTGCATACCCTGCAATAACCTGCGGAGCAGTCTTCATTAGTTATTCTCTTGTGACCCACAGATCGCCCTTCTGATCAACGTGGTGTCTGAACGGCACTCGAAACTGCATCTGCGGTTTTGGAGCCCGTCCCCTGCCTGGAGGCTTTGGAACAGGCATCATGTTGTGCTCGATGATGTCATCAATGCCAACGTGTCCATCAATGGTTTGGGGCAACACGGATCTCCTTGAAGGAAACCTGTTGGTCTCAGCAAAAGGAGCCAGTTTGGAGGCATGGAAAACGGGGTGTGTGTGTAAGTGCCCAGGGATTGAAATGATGTTCGACGGTCCGTCCGGTTCATTCCCAACTACGTCCAGAACTTCCCCAGGTCCAAAGTACTGTGGCATGAGCTTCCTAGAAATACCCAGTTCCTGACCGAGTTCAGATGACTTGACCCAAACTCTTTCACCTACCTGAAATGGAGAGGGCCGTATGTACCTGTTCTCATAATGCTACCGTAGCATCTTGAGCTTTTCTAATCTGCTCGAGAGCCTGCTGCAGCATTTTGTCATACTTGACAGCGAATTCTATGCTGGCAGGTGCTGTTGTGGGTTGGTTCTCAGGCAACAGAAAATGGAGAGCTGATCTGGGCTTCCAACCAAGATGCAGCTGGTTTGGACTCATGCCGGTAGTGCTGTGCACAGCACTATTGTACAGGATGGTGATGAAGGTAACTTCTCATCCCACAGGCTGGTGATGAAGGTAGCTTCTCATCCCAGTCATCCGGGCTCAGCCTGATATAATGGTGGAGCAGGTGGGTAGTGGCTCAGCCTGATATAATGGTGGAGCAGGTGCTGCACTACCCAGTTCATCTGCTCAGCTTGGTCATTGGACTCAAGGCGATTACCTGATGTCATCTGCAGTTGGGTTCCCATCTGCTGGGCCGCGCTCTACCATGGCTCCCTTGTGAATCTGGCGTCTCTATCACTAACAATGGACTTTGGAAGGCTGAAGTCACATACCCAATTATCCATGAACAGCTTAATGCATGGTCGGTCTTGGCGGTCTCCGGCATAGCGATCAGTCTACCGTACTTTGTAAATCTGTCGATAATGACGAAGATGTGCCATTTTCCACTTTTGTTGTTTACCAGGGCATCAATGAAGTCCATGGACACACTCTGGCCAGGGCCAGCGGGAATAGGCAAGGGCTTTATAAGCCCAAGCGGTGCCTGTGTTCTTGTTTGTCACGCTGACAAACCTGACATGTTTCAATATACTGCTTCACATCATCTATCATCATGGGCCACCAAAAACGCTGCACTAAGTTCGCTGTATAGCCAAAGTGACCGGTTGCGTCATGACATTCCCCTAGAAATGGACTACGCAAAGACTCTCTAGACGGAACACACAATTGTTTATTACCTGCCTTCTCGAGGAAAAGCAAGCTCTCCACCACTACAAACTCATCTGATGTGGCCTTATCTTTGGCCTTGAGCTTGCGCATGATTTCAGACATGAATGGGTCCTCTTGATCTGAGTGTCTTTTCAACGTGGGGGGGAAAAGGCACCTAAAACAGGGCTGGGCCGGCAACCGGCCGGATCACCTGCCCCGGTCCAACCGGCGCCGGACCGGTCCAGGGGGGTGAACCGGCAAAACCGGATGCCCCCAAAAAATGCCCAGAATTTTTTTTTTTTTTTTTTTGATTGCGCCATCCAACTGCGCTCGTTGAGATCTGTCGGAATCCGCATTAATACTTGAAAGTCAGGAATTTCTTTTTTTTTGGGGGGGGGTGCTGGGGGGGTTTATGGTGCAGGCCCTGCAGGGTGCATTTCATGGGTGTGCAGGCCTGTAAGCAGCAGCATATATACCTCATGGAAGACGAGGTAGACGACAGTATGAGGTGGAAGAATGCAAATAAGAAAAGGGTAAAGAAGAAGAAGAAGAAGAAAGATAAAACAGATAAAGGGCAGACAATTTAACAGCAGCGGCTCAACACCTGATTCAAAGTTTCTTCAAGTCAAAGTTGTCAAACATCTGCAGCAGTTCCAGATCTCTCTCTCTCTCTCTCTCTCTCTCTCTCTCTCTCTCTCTCT